AACTGTACATACAGTAGTAAAGAACAGTCTCTATCGTCTATCGCTTATTTGAAGTTGTCAGGTATGAGAAATTCTGTTAGAGAAAGAGTCTTACAAATACAAAGTAACAACCGTTACCTGCTGCACTACAAGACAACCTTCTAAGACACCACCCATTGCTTCTGGTTTGTCTATAACAGTAACACTCAAGCTGTCTCTCCAATAACAGTAAATGTGGTCTGAAAGTGATTCAGGGCACAGATCCCACTCAGTAAGAGAGTCGAAGGCAGTACCTCAGAAATCCTGTCCCTGCCACCTGCTGCTTCAACATTTCCCATTCACCACTTACCATCCCTGGCATCAACTTTGATGACCTAACAAATATGGTAGAATACTTAATGGGCTTCCCACTAAAACCAGGTGTGGTAGTTAACAGCATTTAATCCCAGCACTCAAGAGACAAAGGCAGGCAGGTCTGCAAGATCCAAAGCCAGCCTGGTCTACATAGGGGTTGCAGGCCCACAGTGAAACCTGTCTTAAAAAAAAAAAAAAAGAAAGAAAGAAAGAAAAGAAAATTCTGTTAACATTAACAGAATTAGAATTCTGATGTATTCTGGTTTACCAGGGGGTAATAGTATCTCAAATAAAGGACAACTAAATAATCTTCACAATTTAGGAAAACTTCCAGACAAATGTAAATTTCACTGTGAGTTACACTTGACATTTGTACAACAGGAAACTCCTGTGTACATACCTACTTTCAAAATTCTGCCTCAAAAGAGTAACACCTTCAGTTCAAAATACTTGCTTTTAGGTAGTTAACATAATTTTAATATAATTAGAGTTAATGTAAAATCCATTAACTATATGGCCTGTGCCTTTTAAATGTGACAAAACTTCAGCTAGCCAAAACTACAAAATACTTGATACATTTACTTAACTGTTAAAAATTCAAACACCATAATTTGCAGCGCACGGTTACCTTTTTCAATCCAAAGACAAATGCAAAAATCTTCTTTGTGTTATAATCAAACTAGTGTCGTAAGGCCTTTTTTCTATCCGACCCTAAGTCAGTAATCAACACTTGTATATCTATTACAACTCACAAAACTCCTTAACTTCCAAGGGGAGTGGGGAGGCATGTCTTTTATTCCAAGGCCTGGGAGGCAGAGGCAGGCAGGTCTCTGTGAGCTGAAGACCAATCAAGTGCCAGGCTAGCCAGGGCTACATAAAGAGACCCTGTCCCAAACCTCACTTCTCTAGTGCAGCGTCTGCAATTCCACATTATTCATTTACTACAAACCTAACTCACATTTGTTACACATCAGTTTCACTTTCAGGGTCTTCACTAACTACAGGGTCTTTCCCGCATGGATTCTAATATGGTGCAGAGACACACAATCAAAAACCTCTTTGCCTTCCATTTCACTCAGCAGTTTCCATTTACGTATTTCAAAATCAATTAAAAGATTCTACTCCCTTCAAAAGATACCTAATTTTAAAGAATTTTAAAGCTGGAAGCCAGTTACCACTACATTTTACTTCCCTGTAAAGAATTCTGTATTGCTTTTCAAATCTAAAAAAAAAAAAAGTTTAAGACTGAATTGGCCTAAACATTTCCTAAGGTTTTGTTAGCCTATACTGTCATTCTTGAGAAAAATGTTTAATTTCTCAAAAGGCCATTTTCTCTTCATTAATAATAGTGCTAAGAATTAAAGTAATAAAATTGCAGTAACTTAAGTCAACCTTTCTTCCAGTTCAGAGGAGTCTCACTAACACAACTTAACTCATGTCAACAAGAAAGCACAGTGAGTGTGTGCCTGGGCATTTGGCTGTCGTGGCCCTGGCACTGCCAAAATGAGCACTTGTATGGCTACTCTAAAAGGAAAAATTTAAATGCAAATATATATAACATATACTTATCTCAAATTAATGTATCGTAAGATATGTAAATGTTATTTTGGTTTTTTTTTTTGGGGGGGGGGTCTATGTTTTGTTTTTTTTCAAGACAAGGTTTGTCTGAGAGGCCCACACTCCTGGAACTACCTCAGTAGACCAATTGGCCTTGAACTCCACCTGCCTCTGCCTGCGGGGTGCTAGGATTAAAGGAGTGCTTTATCATGAACCCTCTTATGAGGTGTAGATGTTTTTCAAACAGAGAAAATGGGAAGGAACTAAAGCAAAACTCAGCTATAGCTTAATTCCATGTTGCTTTTTGTAACAGTATTTGTTATTAAACTGACCAAGTCCAAAGTTACTTAAAACTCCACATACCTTCTCCAAATTTCAGCCAAGGCAGTCATAATGGTATTTTATGCAGGACATCACCTTACAATGTAACAGACAAAATAAACTCTTAACTTTGTATCACAAAGAACCTAATGTAATAATGTATACATCCTCTATACAGTGCTTCTCTCAAGACTTCTCACTCACATCTAGGCAAACGCTGGCAGGCAATAAAACATGGAGGCGACTGAAGGCCCTGGAACATGTAGTTGTAAAAGGATAGCAAACCCAGAAAGGAAAAAAAAAAAGGTACACTGGGACAAGAGCTTAGTGGGTTCCCGAAGCCCAGGCTGCTTGATATCACCAGACACAACAAACGAATGCACGTAAACCGAAGAAATAGACTAGCCATAAATGTGCTGGCTTCTTCCTGCAAGTCCCAGCGCACCCTTCCACCGCCAACAGTTCAATGAGAATATCATACAATGAAATGAGTAAGCAACACACGCCATTCTGCAACTTTGAAAAACGGGTCACCAATCTTTCGCAGCACCCCGAAGAACCACAATAGCTGAGCAACTCACTCACTCACTGGCACTAAACCGGGTTCCTTCATTTCCAAGCCAAGTTGCCGCTTGGTAAAGACAACACTTCTTGGCTAGTTCATCCACAGGGCACAGTCCTCACGTACGCTCAAAAACAATCGAAAGCCATTCCCTGCCCTGCTGGAGTTGAAGTTACGAGTCGAGCGACCTTTAAAGCTGTCTCCCCGAAACAAAGTGCTCTGGGCCGTCACCGCCGCCTAGGAACCCGGCCGCGTCCCCGAAACTCCGGCTCGCTCACACCTGGGCCCGTGCGATCCCGAGCGCCGGCTGCGGAGCCGGGCGGTGCGGTTCGGGGCGGTGGGGGATGGGGAGGACAGGCTCGAATGGCTTCCTAATGTATCATTAAGGAGTAAAAAGCACCGCTCCGGGAGCAAGAAAAGTTAAAGGAGCCGCGAGATGACAAAGAGCGCCGGCCGTCGCACCGGGACCACCCGGCCGCGGCGTTTGACAGCTCGGTCCCTGGCGCCCGCAGCTTTGTGGCTCCGAGCGGCCGGGCCGGGCAGCGAGCTGGGCGTGCTCGGCGGGGCGTGTGCGGACGCCGGGCTAGGCCCTGGGGAAGCCGCCGGGCGGTTCTCCCAGAAGCGAGGCCGAACTCCAAAGTAAAGTGCGCGACGCGGGTCGGCGGGACCTGCGCGGGCGCCGCCGAACCGGGCCGCGCCTGGGCCGCCCCGCCCCCACCGGGCCGGGGGCCTGACAGCTCCGGGCCGCGCCGCCGCTGGCCGCCCGCCTGGCTCCCTCGCGCTCAACTTACTTCTTTCTGGCTCTCTGGAAAGGGGAAGCGCCATCTTTGCGAGGCCGGCCCCGAGGTCTTTTGTCTGCGGCTGCGGGGCTCGGGGCCGGGGCTCCGGGCTCCTCGGGGGGTGCTGGCGGCGGCTGCTGCTGCTCCGCGCTCCGGTCCTCCTCCGACGACATCCTAGTCACCAGGAAAGACACATGGATCCCGGTCCTCCTCCTGGGGGGCTCCTCCCGCCGCAGCGGCCGCAGCCGCCGCCGCTGCTGCTGCTCGAGTTGCTCCTCCCCGGCTCAGCCTCTCGCATTTCCCGCAGCCCCGGGAGCAGCAGCAGCAGCAGCAGCAGGTACCGGGAGAGGCGGCAACATGGAGCTAGCAGGACACGCACTCAC